TTTGTCGACAGAGTTCTGTTGACAGAAGAAGACATTGCATCTACACTGTCCTCTGCATCTTCACTGTCATGTCGACAAAGCAGCTTGCTTCTGTCAACAAAACTTCTATCAACAAAAGCCTGTAGTCTAGATGTACCCCATTGATTTAATTGAAATGACATTGATTTTATCAGTGGACGATCTGACCCTATGAATTATGAATGGCCCTAAAACTTGGCTTATGGGGAAGCTAGGATTTCCAATTCTGCCTTGTGACCTTCCATGCTGGAAATCACTGAAATTAAACCCTTGGGCTTCGTCTAGACTGGCATGATTTTCCACAAATGCTTTTAACGGAAAACTTTTCCGTTAAAAGCATTTGCGGAAAAGAGTGTCTAGATTGGCATGGACGCTTTTCTGCAAAAACATTTTTTGCGGAAAAGTGTCTGTACCAATCTGGACGCAGTTTTGCGCAAGAAAGCCCCTATCGCCGTTTTCACCATCAGGGCTTATTGGCGCAAAACAGTTTTTAGCTGTCTACACTGGCCCTCTTGCGCAAAAACATTTCCAGAAAAGGGCTTTTGCCCGAATGAGAACGTCAAAGCATTTGCGCAAGTAGAACGTCAGTGCTTTTGCGCAAAATAAAGTGGCCAGTGTAGATAACTGGCAAGTTTTTGCGCAAAAGCAGATGCTTTTGCAGAAAAACTTGCCAGTCTAGACGCATCCCTGGCGTCTTCATTTACACCAGCTGAGGATGAAGGTGGAATTCTAAATCTTCGTTTACACCAGCTGAGGATGCAGGTGGAATTTTAAAGCATTTTCCTAAGGTGCGCTGAAATCCCCCTGGTGAATCGTAGTGTCTTGGAAATTGCCATGTCTCCTTGGTGTCTCGCTTAGTCACGCGAGAGTCACTTAGAACAGGGGGTCCTGAAATGGGACAGACCTAAAGAGAGGAACTCAGAATGAGACCATGTGGTTCCTTTTGGCTCGACTCCTGGTCAGCTGTGGCTGTCTTTGCCCCAGGGTGCAGGTTGGAAGAGGCGGATTGATGCATGCAGGACTAGCCTGAGGCGATGTTTGCAGGCTCTCAACAAGGATTCCTGTGGGAGACAGCTCTGGAATAACTTGCCAGCCCCACGTCTCCGCTGCAGGGCTTGGTGGGGTGGGGGCAGAGAGATGGTTGCTTTCCAAAGCGCACATCAGGACAGAGCTCTGAAGAGCCCAGCAGTCAAGGACAATTCATGCCCTGAATGGGCGGCGGATTTCAAGCTGGAGTAGCAAATCGACTTCCTTCCACGAGAACACACGTCCCGGAAAGGATCGTCGCTCCATCTAACCTGGTACGCCTTGCTCTCTCGTTGTCCCCTGCCCGCTTTTCCCTTCGGTCCCAGACCAGACCTATGGGCCCACGGTCTGGCTACTGCAGCCCTTCCTTGGGCCCATGCCTGGATGGGGTGGGCAGCGGGTTCTCTGAGCCTGGGGCCCTCTGTGCAGCCGCAGAGGATGAGGTGGGGCGATGGTCAAGCTGGGAGGGAGACAGCTCAGGCCAGCAGGCTGGGACCAAGGGTAGCAGATTGAGATCAAGGAGAGAGGTAGATACTCTGGAAGGCAGGGATTGGGTCCAGGGTGACCTGGACAGATTAGAGGATTGGGTCAAAAGAAACCTGATGAGGTTCATCAAGGAGAAGTGCAGAGACCTGCCCCGGGGACGGAAGAATCCCAAGAATGGTTACAGGCTGGGGACCGACTGGCTAAGCAGCAGCTCTGCAGAAAAGGCCCTGGGGATTCCAGTGGATGAGAGGCTGGAGATGAGTCAACAGGGCGCCCTTGTAGCCAAAAAGGCTAATGGCGTATTAAGGTGCATTAGGAGGAGCGTTGCCAGCAGATCCAGGTAAGTGATTGTTCCCCTTTATTCGGCTCTGGGGAGGTCACCTCAGGGATATCGTGTCCAGTTCTGGGCCCCCTTCTACAGAAAGGGTGTGAATGCATTGGAGAGAGTCCAGCGGAGGGCGACCAAAATGATTCAGGGGCTGGAGCACATGGCCTATGAGGAGAGACTGAGGGATTTGGTTTCTTTAGTCTGCAGAAGAGAAGAGTGGGGGGGGGGGATTTGAGAGCAGCCTTCAACTTCCTGAAGGGGGTTCCAAAGAGGCTGGCGAGAGGCTGGTCTCCGTGGGGGGAAGGGCGGAAAGTAGGAAAAATCTCTTTCTCTAGGAGGGTGGGGAAGCACTGGGATGGGTTCCCCAGGGAGGTGGTGGAATCTCCATCCCTAGGGGTGTTTCAGTCCCGGCTTGACCAAGCCCTGGCTGGGATGATTGAGTTGAGGTTGGTCCTGTTTTGGCCAGGAGTTTGGACACAATGACTCCCGTGGTCTCTGTCAGGCCTGGGATCCTGGGATCTGGTTTTTCTCAAACTGCCCCTCCCAGGACTGGGAAAGAATCTAGTATCCTACCTCCCACCAGCCCCCTGCTCTAGATCACGAGTCTCCACTCCCTATGGAATGCCCTGTGGTCGTTGGCACACCATCCCGCAGAGAGGCCGGTTGGTCACCTCGCAGATGTTTGGTTTTTATCTGGACTTATTCCCTGATAAATATCCCTTCAGACCCCAAGTCGTTCACCTCCCTCCACTGGGGCAACCACGCCGATATTTAGACTCATCTGGCAACTTGCACTGAAAAAAACCCAACCAACACTATTTAAAGGACTTCCTCTTCATCTGACCTTACCAAGCCTGCTCTGGGAAGAGGGGAGGCAAGTTAGAGAGGTCAGGGTGGGGGGGTCAGGACTCCTGGGTTCTTCCCCTGGTTGTGGGGGATAGTGGTTAGAACAGGGGGGCTGGGAGGTAGGCTCCTATGTCCCATCCGCAGACAGAGCCTGAGTCCCCTGCATCCGAGCAAAGCGGCCCATCTCCCTCGCGGCTCTGCTGTCTGTTCGCTCTCGGAAACCACTTCCTGGACAGGGAATTCCCTCCCAGTTGTATTTGTGGGAGCACTCCAGGGCAAGGGAGCAGCCTGATGACAAACTGTGCTTCCCCCTGCACCCCAGCAAACAAATGTTGCCAACGTGATTGAACTGGATTTTGTTCTTAGAACAGATCTAACTACTCACTCCCAAGACATCGAGGTGCCCTACTCCCCTTGTTGTCAGATGCCTCAACACCTTTGATATTAAAGCAGCTTGAAAATCTGGTCCTGGGTCACTGAGGCAGAACAAGAAATTCAGCACGGTTCTCCCGTACACCTGACCCTTACCAGTCTGACTGTGACATATTAATATTGATGCAATAAACGGGCAAAAAGGGCCAACCAAATCCAATCACTGTCCAATCTCTGGCAATGTCTACATTGAGGAGTTTTTCCGGGATACCCTGGAGAAATTCCACCGCGTCCAGGGACCATGTCTGCTCTTTGGACACTCTTTGCAGAAAAGCAGACACGCCCTTTCGAAAGCCCTGTAAACTTCGAAAAAGGGCTCTTGCAAAAGAGGACGTTTTTCTGAAATTTGTCCCCGTGCCAACAGGCCAAATTTCAGAAAAGCCTCTTCTGAAAAATACAGTCGGAAAAAGGTATGCAAATTGGGCTGCGCAATTTGCATACCTTTTTCCGGAAAAAAGAAGTGTAGTGTACATTCAGCCTCAAACACTATTAAACAAAGTCCCAAAGACGGGTCGTTTGATTCACTCCCTCTGGGTACCTGGCATTGGCCACTGTGGGCAGAGAGGACACTGGTCTGGATGGACCTTTGGTTTGTCCGAGTCTGGCCGTTCTTACATTCTTATGTCCTTTCAGTGGCCCCGGGGAGGAGCTAGTTCGAAATAATTTCGGAAGAGACGTTATTCCTCGTGAAATGAGGGTTTATTATTCCGGAAGAAGCAGCCTGTTTATTTTGAAAAGATTTCAAAATAATGGGCTTGCTGTGTGGATGCTCCTCTTGTTATCTGAAAATAATGTCAGTTATTTCGAAATAACACTGTAGTGTAGACGTGCCCTTGGGGAATAAGCATATTTGAAATAGGTATTTCAAACTAATTTCCTTGTGTAGCCATGCAGGCAGTGAAGGCTAGGCCTATAACAGAGTTTAAAGAGAAGCTAGATAATTTCATGTAGGTTAGGTCCATAAAAGGCTATTAGCCAGGGGATAAAATGGTGTCCCTGGCCTCTGTCTGTCAGAGGCTGGAGTTGGATGGCAGGAGACAAATCGCTTGATCATTGTCTTCGGTCCACCCCCCTGGGCCACCTGACAGTGGTCACTGTCGACAGACAGGGTACTGGGCTAGAAGGACCTTTGATCTGACTCAGTATGGCCGTTCTTATGATAACCTTTCTGCCAGAGAAAGGAGAAGCAGCCAAGCCGAGACGGGATGAAATTCTTGCCCTTGCTGCTGTCCGAGCCCTTTTCATCTCAGGTGGTGGTTGGGATTTATCTGGAGCTGTCCAAGGTAGCATGGTGATCCCTATGGCCTGGTTGGGTCAGGGTGTAGGGAGCCCTGGTGCAGGGTGAGAAATGTCTGAGAAACGTCCCCGGAAATGGTGGTAGCTCTGTTGGTGAACCTCATCCAGTCACCTCTGTTGGTTCTTCCTCCCTTCCATGCCATCCCGTACCTAGCTTGAAAGCCCATAAAAAGATGTACTGGGGGAATATCCCATTCCCTCATTATTTTATCCATGGTCACGCATAGCTTCTACCTGACACTTTTCTTTTTTAACTTGGATGATCTTACCATCGTGCCGCAGTTTTCCCAGGAGATGTTTTATGTTGGACCAACTCCCTCTTTTTTCCCCATTCAGACCTTCTCCACAGTTGATTTTTCATTGTTGGATGTTGTGATATTGTTTTAACATGCATGCACTTTTTAGGGCTCAACATCAAGATAATTGTCTCGCTCCCAAACTCACACCACTGTCCTCCTTCTGCCCGCAGGGGATGGGCCTCCTGGAGCCGACAGAGAGTCAGAACAGCACTTCGGTGACCAAATTCATCCTCCTCGGCCTCTCCAGCAACCCAGAGGAGCAGCTGGTCCTCTTTGGGGTCTTCATGGCCATGTACATGGTGGCCCTGGTGGGCAACTTGCTCATCTTACTGCTGGTCGGTCTGGACTCCCGGCTCCACACACCCATGTACTTCTTCCTGGGGAATTTGTCTGTGGTGGACATTGGCTACACGCAGGACCAGTCCATCTCTTGGGATGGCTGCCTCTGCCAGATGTTCTTCTTCATCTCCTTCGGTGGGATGGAGTGCCTGATTCTGGGGGTAATGGCCTACGACCGCTATGTGGCCATCTGCCACCCACTGCACTACGGCGTGGTCATGAGCAGGTGGCTGTGCGCCCTGCTGGCTGCAGCCGCCTGGGCCCTGGGCTTGGCCAACTCAATTGTGCACTCATCCCTGAGCGCCTCCCGGGGCCCCCTGGTGTCCTACGTGTCCATCGGGCGGGCCATCCTCCGCATCCGCACCCGGGCCGGGCTCCTCCAGCCCTTCTCCACCTGCGCCTCCCACCTGACGGTGGTCAGCCTCTACTTCGGCACCATCATCTTCACCTACATTGCTGGGCACCCTGGTGTCCTACGTGTCCATCGGGCGGGCCATCCTCCGGATCCGCACCCGGGTCGGACGCCTCAAGGCCTTCTCCACCTGCGCCTCCCACCTGACGGTGGTCAGCCTCTACTTCGGCACCATCATCTTCACCTACATCCGCCCCAACACCACCTACTCGCAGGAGCAGGACCGGGCGCTGCCCGTGATCTACGGCGTCGTCATTCCCATGCTCAACCCCATCATCTACAGCCTGCGGAACAAGGACGTGAAGGGGGCTCTCCAGAAAGCCCTGGGCAGGGGCTAGGCAGGGAAGGGCAGGCGGGATGGGCCGGGGGTCAGGACTCCTGGTTCTACCTTTGGTTGGGGTGGGGAAGGGTCTTGTGGCTTAGAGCTGGGAGGCTGGGGGTCAGGAACCCTGGGGTGCACCCCAGCTGGGGGACGGGAGTGGAGGAGAGTCTGGTGGGGAGAGCCTGGATATGTGGGAGTTGGGACCTCCGGGTCCTAATGCCAGGGGAGAGAACAATTCTGTGTGTGTGTGTGTGTGTGTGTGCACGCACGCTTATTACATGTAAGTGTGCACGTGTGTGTGTGTGCTTGTGTGTCAGTTCCCATGTGTGTGCATGTGTCTGTTCACATGTGGGAGAGTGTGTGCACCTGTGTGTGTGTGTGTGTGTGTGTTCATGTGTCTCTGTGTCTGTTTACATACGTGTGTGTGTGCGCGCACATGTGCCCACACTGGCGATGGCTTCCTGTTCCCAAAGCTGAAGGATTTTTTTCTGGTTTTCTCTGACCATGTTCAGCCGGCGGGAACGTTTTTGGGTTTGGGTCAAAAAAAGATTGTTTTTCCTGTGGCGAAAGCCTTTAAATGGTCCAAAGCCCATTTCCAGCTTTAAGACAAAACAGTCACTGACGTATGATGAGTCGTTTTCCTGCCGGGCGGAGGGGTGGGTAGCGCAGCGCCCTGCCACGCCCTCCTGCCCGGGCCGTGGAGATCAGCACCGTGCTCAACAACACGTGTCAAGACGGCATTTCAGTGCATCCTCTCCTCCGAGGCACGCCTGCGCTGGGTTGAAGGAGCCCAGTTATTTTCACTGCAAATTAAACACATGAACAACATACATACAAGTTTTGTAGAACATTTTCCCAAATCCCCTAGTCCCACCGGGTTACAGCGACTGGGTATTCAAATCCCCTAGTCCCACCGGGTTGCAGCGACTGGGTATTCAAATCCCCTAGTCCCACCGGGTTGCAGCGACTGGGTATTCAAATCCCCTAGTCCCACCGGGTTGCAGCGACTGGGTATTCAAATCCCCTAGTACAATGGGCTGGGACTTTGACAGAAGGATTCGTATGGGCCCACCGCAGTGTGACAAAGGCCTGGAGTCCGGGTCTCCCACGTGCCAGGCAAATATCATCACCGCCAGCCTGTAACTCCGCAGCGTGTGTGCGCACACACACTCATACACACACCCACACACACGCACG